GGTTAGAACTGGATATTGAGGGCAATGAATGCAATGTTTGTTGAAAGGCTTATGTATGAGAAGGACTTATGATTGGGGGTGTCCAGGGGGTTGTTATTATATAGGGGGTTGTCCACTAGTGTTGGGACAACCACGAGTGTATGTGGGCTGTCCTAGTTTTTTATATAATTAATACATTGTTGAATAACAATTCTATATTGGTTATTTAATGATTACAAATTCCAACCATCACCATGGCCAATAATTGGATTAGGATTATACTGGGCAGAGTTTTGATATGCATTTATTGCCGGCAACGCCTCGAAGCGATCCAAATACTGGCCAATAGTCGGGTATTCGCCGATAGTCTCGGGTGTGAATCGTCTCAACCAATCCATCACTTCGTAAGCAATGAAGTCTACGTAAGACAACTGTCCGCCGGTTAGACATTGTTTGTCGGCCAAGAACTTCACCAATAGATCCAACTGTGGCTTAAGAGTTGTGTTCAAATAATCGGCAGTTTTTGCCTTATAATTGGCCGAAAAGACTATTGTTTTAACAAAACTCTGGGCCATATCCATGACCTGTTGTTCGCACATGTCTTGTAGGGCCCGCTGGCGGTCATCGGTGGCCACGAGTCCGTACTTACGACCCAAGTATCTCATTATAGCCATCGATTGACTCAGTTTTAGGTATCCATCGATATAATAGGGAAGGTTAGGAAAGTCCAGTCCCAAAGTGTCGGTCTTATCTCTAACCCAGACCTCACTGTCGCTGAATTTATAGCGTTTGTCCGTATAGTTAACGCCCGCATAAGCCAGTAGTGAGCGTATGGGCTGACCCTTACCTCTACACTCCCAATAACCCAGAGTAGGTACCGGTGCTGAAGACATGACTGTTTATGTGCTTAAAAATACGACTAAAGTTGTATTGATTGCTATAAGTGTAGAAAATGTTCACAATACCTTTATAATAAATAATTATAAAGTATATTCAGTTTTCTTAATTAGTTTCTCTCATATAGTGATAACTCATTGAAAATAATTGTTTTGCTTAAAATTACTTTTTAAATTGTCATTCAATTTATTTGTAAATCAAGTATTATATGCATAAACTAATGATAATAGAAGTACAGTCTGCCCCCGGTTTTGACATGTAATCGGTGCTGTAAAATATATAGAATATATCAATATGTGTTTAAAATCGCATTCTGTTAAAATCGCGTATTTCAAAACTCGGGGCAGACTTTACGTGTAAGTTTTTCAATAATGCTTGTAAAAACATTTTTAAAAATTTCATGGCAAAAATAAATTATCATAAATTGAAATATCAAGTTTTGACCTTAAAGCGCGATATCGCAGTCATTTTAATTAATTGATTTTTATTTTAAAAACATACATTGTATGAATAAAAATAAATTGTTCAATAATTTACTATAGACGTAAATTATATTAAATGATGGCCAAATTAATATCAGGCCTGGAATAAAATCACTTTAAGCTGATCTAAATCATAATTAATAAGTGAATTAGTTGCCGGATGCAATTTACTGCCAAAATTGTTGCGCGACGTTACGATACACTGCCAGTCTTTGCGGTAAAATTTTTCTGACATTTTATCATTAATTTTTTAAGCAATTTCGTCGAGAGTGTCCGCACTTTCAATTGCCTCACATGTGATCTCCTTTACTTTCTCCACCATAAATGGCCGCATTTGCTCGTCTACTATATCGATATTGTCTTCATCAATGTAAATATTAAGGCGAGAATTTAGATTAGCCACGTTTAACTAAATATAAAATTGGTCATTGTTATTAAAAACAATTTACCTAATTATATATTCAAAACAAACACTTTTTTATTTAGCGTTATTAGTTTTATAACTTACTGTAACCGTACGATATATTAAAAATGTGATTGGCGGAAATTTGACCCTCATAAAATTACATCGATCGGGTGTGTAATACGCGAAGCCGGCTTTACCACGATCGACAAAACAATGCCAACTGGTACCGAACTCTAGGTCCATTTGTTTTGCAACTTGTTTGCACACATTAAAAAAGTTATTTTGTTTAAGTAAATGTTCTTTAATTATAGACAACGTTCTGTCGGCCGTCTTTGTATCCATATTGTTAGTCAAGAGCTCTGGTGTCGACAATTGTTGGCTACACTCGACTAATAACTTTTGATCGGGTATATGAGGCCCGTCATCGCTATCATTGCTAGCATGTGCATTTTTCAACGCATCGTTTGCGCGTTTTAATGCTTGTTTTAACGCCTCGATCTCTACCTTTGCCTCATTTTTGAAGGCTTTATAAATTTCCAATTCAGTAGCTTGATCCATTTTTATCTGGTTGTTTTCAGCGAGTAGTGCAACAATACAGTCGTGCCCCGATGTTCGATTGCATTGACATTTTGGACACTTGGGATCTTTAAAGCTACAGTCGACTGTATGCTTTGTTAGCTCATCGAGTTTGACCACATCCTGACACCCGTGAGCCCAGTGGTCGCACTGTATCTTAAAGCGACCCAAAGTGTTCATCACTAGTCTATTATATCAAGACTATTAATTATATTCTGTATTAATAATAGTATTATTTATATAATTTTAAATAAAAGTATCCTATTTATTAGTGTAATATTTGTCATTTAAAATACTACCTTGGTGGTCTAAATAGACCACTCCGGGCAAGTGGTTTCCTATCATAAGGACAGGTAGTGTTTGTCTGAAGCCATTGTGTGATACAGTCGTCGCAAAACATTTGTCCACAACAGGTTGTGGTGACCGGAGTGTTGAATATCTCCTGACATATACTACACGTGTAATCGTCCCGATCATCGTCTGACAGCTCTGGGAACCGATCGACACTAAATCCGGGCATTTTAACCCTAATTAATTGATTACGTAATTATGATAATAATAAACGCACACTAAAGCAACAGTAATGGCTTACGGTAAACAAAAATATTGTTATTTAATCAGTAACTCTAATAACAACACATACATGTTATCTCACAAATAACCATAGTGATTAATTTGTTGATAAATAATTTATCATGGGCGCATTTTTCACATTTCTGTTTATGCGATATTATATAATAAATTGTTTTTTATTTAATTAACAGTTTTTAGCATTGCAATGCAATAAAATATAACAACGTTTTATAACTAATTGATTGCAAAATTAAATATAACAGGCAAGGTAAAAATTAAATATATCATATTATACATTTTTAAATTATCATTAATAAAATATATAAATTACAGTTTATTTACTTATTTAAATTGTGACGAAACTCAGAGTTCGGTATGCGCTGTGGTGAACCCTTGACGAGCCGTCAGACGGTATTCGGGACTAATGTCTTGGAGGGCGACTAAGTCTACCGTCGAGTGTGTTTGTTGTGATGAATGGGTGAGAAGTCCTGATGTTGGGACCTCTGGAATGACACGAGAAGTACGGGCGAGAGGGACTAATGAGAAGTACTAATGTATGAGTAGTCACTGTATGAATGAGAAGTTATGGAATGAAATGGGCAGCACTTCGTGTGTATGAATGTTCTATGGATTTACCTCTTCCTTTATTGATGTATTTCATGAATGTTTTACAATGCATTGGTATTAATGTTATGACAGTATGTATGATATGAAAAGTAATGTTATGTGACTTCTGGTGATCGGTGGTTAGAAGTACTCGTATGTATGAAAAGGTCTGATTTTATACAATGATATGAATGATTGAGATGTGTTATGATTTAGATGTAATGACAATTAAATGTGTTAATCATAGTTAAATGTAATTGTGGTAAATGTGGTTAGAACTGGATATTGAGGGCAATGAATGCAATGTTTGTTGAAAGGCTTATGTATGAGAAGGACTTATGATTGGGGGCAAAGGTTTACAACGGATATATGGTTTGAATGCCTATGAATGTGAATGAATGGGTGTATGTATGTATGGCCTGTTCGGTGGATGTCTTCTTCGGGAACTCCTCGAAGTGTGATGTATGAGTTTCGTTACAAAATAATTGCAAAACTAATTTACTGAACTATTTTTATTCTGTGATTTAGTTTATAATACACTCTAGGCTAATGGTCATTGAGAGGTCGGGGCCAACCCATACGCCTACTGCTGAAGTACGCGGGCGTAGAGTTTACGGACAAACGCTATACCGACCCAAAGGGCTGGCAGTCGGACAAGTATGCACTCGGGCTGGACTTCCATACCCTTCCCTATTATATCAACGGTGACCTAAAACTGACCCAATCAACAGCTATAATGCGCTATTTGGGCGAAAAGCACAAACTGGTGGCCGTCACTGGTATCGACCGGCACCGGGCCCTACAAGACATGGCTGAGCAACAGTTCCAGGACATGATGAACGGCTTTCTGAAGGTGCTCTTTGATCCGGAAGGTGAGGCCAAACCCCAGGCGTATATCACCGGCACTTTGGAGCCACAGTTGGCACTGTTTGCCAAGTTTTTGGCCGACAAACTGTGGTTCACCGGCGGTCAGGTGTCTTACGTAGACTTTATGGCCTACGAAGTGCTCGACTGGTGGCGCCAATACTTGCCTGAGTCGGTGGCCAAACACCCGACGGTTGGCCAGTATTTGGATCGTTTTGAAGCCCTGCCGGCTTTTAAGGCGTACCAGAGTTCGGCTGAGTATAACCCGTGGCCAGCGTTTGGGCCTCGGGCTAAGTGGACGGGAAAATAAATGTATTATCTAAATAGCTAATTGTTAATATGTTATGACCTGCTATAAGTGGTAACCTAGAGTATAATATTTTTAAAAAATAAAACCGTTTCAGAAATTCATAAATGTATTTATTTTAATTTAAACATTACGTTATTATAATTTCAAAATTTATTACTCGCCCATAATATTACATTGTGAATTAAAATAATTGACTTCGAAAAAGCAAACAAATAAACGCTCATTTGTGGGCAAATTATCATCCTTTCAATCCTTCCACCCATTCCTCCGCATATCGGTAATGTCTCTTAACATGTGGCGCACCCGTGCGGACGTGTCCTTAACTCGGGGGTCCTTTTGGTCGGCAATGTTTTGCAGTTTAGCAAAAAATGAGTCTAAAAGCATAGTCTGTTGCTGACTACTGGACGCCTCCTTTTCCAACTGCCCTCCGGCTGTCCTAAATAAAGCGCACAGACACTCGAGAGACTCGTCGTCGGCATCTTTGATCAGGTTATCCACGCATTGAACCATAATATTTGCTTTCAACATGTTCAGTTTATAAAGCTCTCCAATCAATACAATGTTCCCCAAACATCTCCCACGAGCTCTACTCATGTCCTCGTCCAGCGCTTCCCTCTTGTGATTCTTAAGCTCCGGATCAGTGCACCTCTCGATCTCCTCTTGTCGTAGCTTTAGGTCTGGTATTGAGCTATAGATGTCTGCCTCGAATTCCTTCTGACACTTATGGAGAAGTAGTTTAAGTAACTTTACTTCTTCGGCCCACTCCTCCCGATTGACCATAACCTTAAGTTTAGACATTTGTTTAAATAGATTGGCGTATATGTGACAAACGGCCGGTTCGGTCCGCACCGCTCTGTCATACACCAAATTTAACACTCGTTTGAGTTGGTCTTCGGTGTCTATTTTGAAGGACAGTATTTGTTTGGTTAAGCCGTCGGCCGTCTGTGGCGTCAGTTTATCCACAATTACACTCATTTTGTTAATCATTTCTCGGGTTTCCTGTTCTTCGTGATCCGTTGCCGACGAGTGTTGAAATTGTTTGGCCATTGGTTTCCACGCGTTCCACCGACAGTTGACTGTATGTTGTGGCAAAAGTTCAAGTTTGACCACTTCCCGACACCCTTTAGCCCAGTAGTCGCACTGTATCTTAAATCGATTCAACATGTTCATCACTAGTCTATAACAAAGTAAACATGATAATTAATAATTAATATACCACAATGTTTACTTGATTATCATTCCAGAAAGTATCCATTGTTATGTCAATACTGTAATTTTTACGGAGAAATTTTTAGACTATAAAAGTACCTTGGTGGCTTTGTTAAACCGCTTCTGGTTAGTTGTCTTCTATCGTAAGGACAGGTAGTGTTATGCTTAAGCCATTCATTAATACAGTCCTCACAAAACATCTGTAGACAACAGGTTGTGGTGACCGGAGTTTTAAATATTTCCTGACATATACTACATGTATATTCTTCCCGATCTTCGACCGACAGCTCCGGGAACCGATCGACACTATATCCGGGCATTTTAACCCTGATTAATTATACAAACTGGTTATAAATACAACTTAAATGATTTTATATAAACAAATATAATGGCGTTTAATTAGTTAAACCAATGCCTAGTGATAACACTTGAAATATGATAATTCATGACAACAACTGTGAATAATTCAAAACATTTAATGATTAGCATGTTTACAAAATGTAAGCATGTGTAGTGTTTGCATAATTTTCTGTTTAACTGTTTTTAAGTTACATAACAGTTTGAAAAATAAATAGCAGAATTACATAACAATTGATACAGGGATAAAATAGTCATGATAACCAATAAAAATTTCTTAAATCTATTTGTATTAAAGCCTCACCCGACATCTTATTCTTCAGTTAAATCTTGTTAACTTTATATTTCTGACATTTCTTAACATTATGGAAACACTAATTATTAAATGCATTTAAATAAGTCAAAGTAAATTTTTAACCTTTTAAAAATATTAAATACCAATTCAACAATACTTAAAACTTTTAGGCTTTTCTAAACTAATAAATTGTATTTAAAAACGTAAAATTTATATTTACTGTTACATTACATGTTAATTAATTTATTAAATTAATGCAAAAAGATTTATCTATTTCAAAAAAGTTTTATGATCAATTGTTTATTGTAAAATATAAAAATAGTATTCACATACAATCGTACTATCACATAAATAATAGCCAATCTGATCCAACCGGTAGTCATTATACGAGATTATCAATGATAAGTTATCATACATTACCTAACATTTGCCACATTCCTGAACAACTTGTTAATTTTGTATACTTAATATTTATATAAGTTAATTATATTTAAAATAATTAAAATTCTGTAATTCACAACAGATGTAGAATACTAAATAATTAAAAAATCATTATCATAATAGACACGATAAATTCTTGCTATTCAAAGTGATGCGCTAGTTACATTTACCCACATTTAAGAAAAGTTTATAATAAAATTGCACCTTGGTTGAGCATGCTATTAATACAGTCTACACAAAACATTTGCCGACAACAGGTTGTGGTGACCGGAGTGTTGAATATATGCTGACATATACTACACGTGTATTCGTCCCGATCGTCGGCCGACAGCTCTGGGAACCGATCGCCACTATATCCGGGCATTTTACCAAGTTTGTTTATTTTAAAATAAACTCAATTATGTTTATTTATTAATAATAAATTATTATATACGTATATATAATATATGAAAAAACTGTATTGGTATTTAATCAGTGTATCCACTGGTAACACAAGAATATGAAACAATGAGAGTTTGTATATTTATTGTAATCTTTTTAATATAATAAATACATTGTTAAATAAAAGTTCAATACACTATTAGTTATTTAGTGATTACAAAATCCAACCATCACCATGGCCAACAATTGGACCAGGTTTATATTGGCCAGAGTTTTGATAAGCATAAATAGCCGGCAACGCCTCGAAGCGATCCAAATACTGGCCAATAGTCGGGTATTTGCCGATAGTCTCGGGTGTGAATCGTCTCAACCAATCCATCACTTCATAAGCAATGAAGTCTACGTAAGACAACTGTCCGCCGGTTAGCCATTGTTTGTCGGCCAAGAACTTCACCAATAGATCCAACTGTGGCTTAAGAGTTGTGTTCAAGTAATCGGCAGTTTTTGTCTTATAATCGGCCGCAAAGACTATTGTCATAACAAAACTCTGTGCCATATCCATGATCTGCTGTTCGCACATGTCTTGTAGGGCCCGCTGGCGGTCATCGGTGGCCACGAGTCCGTACTTTCGGCCCAAATATCTCATTATAGCCATCGCTTGACTGAGTTTTAGGTCCCCATCAATATAATAGGGAAGGTTAGGGAAGTCGAGTCCCAAAGTGTCCGCCTTATCCCTAACCCATACCTCACTGTCACTGAATTTATAGCGTTTGTCCGTATAGTTGACGCCCGCGTAGGCCAGTAGTGTGCGTATGGGCTGACCCTTACCTCTACACTCCCAATAGCCAAGAGTAGGTACCGGTGCTGAAGACATAACTGTTTATATGTTTAAAATACGACCAAAATTGAAGTGATTGTTGTAAGCGTACAAAAATGTTTGCAATAAATACCTTTATAAAAAATAATTGTAAATTATATTAGGATTTCTTAATTGGTTTCTCGCATATAATGATAACTCATTGAAAATAATTGTTTTGATTAAAATTATGTTTTTAAATGTCATTCAATATATTTGTAAATCAAGCATTATATGCAAAAAATGTTAATAGATGTACGTGTATTAGGATTTTCATAGACATCATAAAATTTATTATGGAACGTATTCTTCAATATTTTTAAATTTTTTTGAGTGACTTATAGATTTAATATTATTACACAATATTTAATATCTATATTATATCGCCTAAAGTTTTAATACATTTCTAAAATAAACTAAAATAATTTTAGTAATCAATGGCCACGATTAGTAAATTTATAAATTCAAGCTTGTGACATTTATAAACATTTATAAATTAATGTTACATTACATTATTATAACACGATTAATTGATTTATCAATAAAAACTAACATATTGTTCAATTATTAACCCTAGAAGCTTAAACTGAAAGATTAGTCTCCCATTTGCACTTTGAATTTCAATTAACAATCAACAAAGAGTGCTAGCCAGAAAAAAATTCAGTAATGCCTCATAAGTAATTAGGTTTAATAAATATGTAAAGTTATATTATTATAAAATTTAATTATCATGGTTAAATTAACGTTTGGGATATTATTTTCCCAGTTTATGCGCAATGTAACTTTTTTCCTACAGTATAAATAGTGTTAATTTCATTCTGCGTTTATTGTACAAACTGGGAGAATAATCTCCCAGCATAAGTGTGGGATAGTAATCTCCCAGTTTATGCACTAACTGCTGGGAGATTACAATCCCAGTTTATTTACAACGTTATTATTTAAGTTTAAGCTTTAAGGGTTAAATAGTTAAAAACTATTCGCATTCAATATTATTGTCGTATACATATATAATAAGCTGATCGACCATATAATCAATATAAGAATCGAAGTTCTTTACACAACATTCGCCACAATCCTCAGCAAATATCATACACTGCCAGTCATTACTATGATATCTTACGTCCATTTGGCCGGTAATCTCTTTGGCGATGTTGGCTAACGTGCCCTTCCGATCGATGGCGTCAAATGTGATCGTCTTAACCGCCGAAATCATTTTCTGATTCATCTTTTTCGATCGCAATATCTTAATGTTGCGGTCGATTTTGTTGTGCCTGATTCGGGCCTTCAGGTTTGACACGCTCACCTAGTTAAACATCATATAATCATAAAATCACTATAAATTGAATTAGCTGTTATCGGGGACAAAATTTTAATAATGCTCAACCCTGTTGGACACAACGGTTTGCGCCATTAGAACCGGTGAAAACTGTACATTAATTTAATAGCCCATACATACCGTATGAGTGTGGATGAGAAGCAAAGTGAGCGGACCAATTTTGACCCTCATTAAATCACGCTTATTGGGCGTACAATAAGCCTGTCCCTCGTTGCTTACGTAGGCTATGCAGTGCCAGCTGGTGCCGTACTCCAGGTCCATCTGATCGCACACATATTTACATATATGGTATAAACTATGCTGATTAGCCAACCCGTCCCGGATTATAGACAAAGTTTTATCTTTCATATTGGGTTTCATATTGTTATTTAACAGCTCCGGTGCCGACACGGGTCGCCTACACTCGGCCAGTATCTGATCGTCGGTCATATAAGCCCTGTCACCGCTGACTCCTAAGACATTTGCCCTCGCGCTTAAATTCTGTGTGTTTATCAACAAGGCCAAATTAGCGGCATCGAGCGCGTGTTTTAGCCCATCAATCTCCAATTGATTCTGGCTTTTTAAGGCCCTTAAATCATCGATACAGTCGTGTCCCGGTTTGAGCTCGTGGTGTCCATTCACGCACACTATTTGCTTTGAACCACTCGCGTCCAAATTGACCTTGTCCATATATTTGGCCGCTTTGTTTACAACTTGTTCAGCAGCTAGCTTCTTTTTGAGCTCGCGGTTTTCGGCCAATAATGCGACGATACAGTCGTGTCCCGGCGTCTGCTCGCACTCGCATTTAACACATTTCTGAACTTTGTAGCAACAGTTGACTGTATGTTTGGGCAACTCATCGAGTTTAACCACTTCATGACACCCGAGGTCCCTGTAGTCGCACCGTATCATAAGTTTGCCCAATAAATTAATTACCAGTCTAGATGTTGATATATATTAAAATTCACAATTAATAATTGCAGTGTTAAGTTCTATTAAGTTATTAAGTTTAATAAACTATTGCTTTGTACAAAATTAACAAGGTGGTGTTAATAGTACTTTAGCTAATCTTACAAACATTTATCTATTTTCTAATTAGTTACAAAACCTGAGTCACATAAACGCGGACGTTTTAAAACTGTAATAACTTTAACCATGATTAACTCAATGGATTAATCTATATGCCATTTGATAGCTTATTTATGGATGTGTAAAGCCTTACATTAAAAATTTTTAATATAAACCACAACTGGATTTAACCGACGATTCTCTTAGACGACTGTCTAAACATGTTTTCCACTCTATGTTAAAGTATAGCAATGTTTATAAATTCATATTTGATTATTATCGGTCTTTATAAATATTACCAAGGTATAATTAGATTATATCAGTATGATTTTAAGTATTCTGTGTTAGATTTTAAATTCTAAAATTATAAATAATCCATAAAATTAATATTTTATAAAAAGGATAATTGTTTGAACATTTTTGGACTTTTTAATGATAAAACATTACTTTTCAAAACTAGCTATGAATTATGTTAAAAATAGTTATAACACAATAAATCTAGCTTAAATTAGTCTTATATAATCTGATTATACCTTGGTAATATTTATAAAAACCGATAATCATTAAATATGAATTTATAAATATTGCTATACTTTAACATAGAGTGGAAAACATGTTTAGACAGTCGTCTAAGAGAATCGTCGGTTAAATTTAGTTGTGGTTTATATTAAAAATTTTTAATATAAGGCTTTACACATCCATAAATAAGCTATCAGATGGCATATAGATTAATCCAATGAGTTAACCATGGTTAAAGTTATTACAATTTGTATATCGTCCGCATTTACGTGACTCACCTTTTGTATAAGTATTTATATAAATTTTAATTGATAAAAGTTGTGTTAAAAATTACATGTCTATTTTTGTTTTAATTTAAGTATATACATGCTAAATAAATATGTGAATTACTTCTATGTAAAAATATTACCTAGCTGGTGGGGACAGATCACTCTGTGTCAGTGGCTTCCTATCATTAGGACAGGTATTGTTAGTCTTAAGCCATTTATTAATACATTCCTCGCAATATGTTTGCCGACAACAGGTTGTGGTGACCGGAGTGTTGAATATCTCCTGACATATACTACACGTATAATCTTCCCTGTCTTCGGCCGACAACTCCGGGAACCGATCGCCACTATATCCGGGCATTTCTAATCCGGTTGTAATATATTTACTGCAAAACTATCAAAACAACGCAGCTAGATTGTTTGTAAACAAATATAATGACGTGTAATCAGTGATGTAATAAAATGTTTATTTTAAGCGCTTATTACAAAATAAGTATTTTTAATTTATTAACTTACATTTTTTGTAGCATAACTTTTATTAGTGTATGTTAAATATTTTTACATACATTTTTATTTACCTACATATCCTATAAACTACATTATGTATTTGTGGTTACTAAATTAACTGTTTTAGTTTAAAGGTAACTTAATTATATTTTATATTGATTAACAATTCGTTAATTATTATTTCATATTTATATTATTGACCTCAGAATTAATGCATTTAAAATGAATATTCACAATATTTAATTTGAAAAACATTAATTTTATTCAAATGCTTGAAAATTAATAATACAAATATAGCATATAAATTGTTAGCCACCTAAATATCAGGCTTGGAATAAAACGACCCTAAGCTCATCCAAATCGTAACTAATAAATGAATTTGGTTGGTATGTCACGTGGCGCCCAATACTATTGCGCAATCCAACAAAACACTGCCAATCGTAGAGATAATATCTAGATTTCATTTTATTCTTAATATTTTTAGCGATTTCGTCGAGAGTGTCCGCACTTTCAATTGCCTCACACGTGATCTCCCGTACCATCTCAAGGATTATCGGTTTCATATCATCCTGCACTATATCTATATCATCATCGTCAATTATTTGACTATCGAGACGGGACTTTAAATTAGCCACATTTAACTAAACAAAAAATTAAGCATCGTCATTTGCAATTAAGTGAACAATGTAAAGTTGTGTGTTTATAACGTACCGTCACCGTACGGAATAATATCAACGTGATTGACGCGATTTTGACCCTCATAAATGTGGACCGATCGGGCGTATAATAAGCGACGCCGGCTTTACCACGATCGGCCAAACAGTGCCAACTGGTGCCAAATTCCTCGTCCATATCATTTGCAATTTGTTTGCATACGTTAAACAGGTTTTTTTGTTTCGTCACCTGTGCCCTAATTATGGCCAGCGTTTTGGCGGTCATCTCAGTGTCCATAGTGTTGGTTAAGAACTCCGGTGTCGACAATTGTCGCCTACACACGACCAATAGCTCGTGATCGGGTATATGAACCTCGTCATCAGTATTATTGGTAGCATGTGCATTTTTCAACGCATCGTTTGCCCGCTTTAATGCCTGTTTTAACGCCTCGATCTCTACTTTTGCCTTGTTTATAAACGCCTTATAAACTGCCAATTCACCAGAATATTTCTTTTTGAACTGGTTGCTTTCAGCGAGTAGTGCAACAATGCAGTCGTGCCCTGACGTTCGATCGCATTGACATTTTGGACACTTGGCATCCTTATAGCGACAGTCGACTGTATGCTTAGTCAGGTCATCGAGTTTGACCACATCCTGGCACCCGTGAGCCCAGTAGTCGCACCGTATCTTAAAGCGACCCAAAGTGTTTGTCACTAGTCTGTATAACCAAGTCAATTAATTATCTCCTATTTATGTAACATTTGTAATTTAAAATACTACCTTGGTGGCTTAGATAGACCACTCCGGGTCAGTGGTTTCCTATCATAAGGACATGTAGTGTTAGTCGTAAGCCATTTAGTGATACATTCCTCGCAAAATAACTGTAAACAACAGGTTGTGGTGACCGGAGTGTTGAATATCTCCTGACATATACTACACATGTATTCGTCCCGATCTTCGGGAGACAACTCCGGGAACCGATCGACACTATATCCGGGCATTTTTAACCACAATTAATTAATTATTTATTTACGAAAATAGCACAGTAAACAACCGTAATGGCATATGGTAAACAAAATTTTTGTTGTTTAATCAGAAACTCAAATAACACATACATGATACTTTATCATTGATACAAATACTCAAGTGATTAATTTGTTGATAAACAATTTATCATTAACGCATTTTTAAATTTATGTACTTGTTATTTTATTTAATAAATTTTTTAATAAATAAAAATTTAATTAACAGTTTTTACATCTCATGTAGCATCTCAATGTAATAAAATATAACAACTTTTTATAACTAATTGCAAAAGTAAATATACGAGACAAGGTTAAAAATTAATATATCATATTATACACATTTTAATAATCATTAGTAAAATATTAATGTATAAATTACAGGTTATTTGCTTATTTAAATAATTACAAAACTAAGTTTACTGAACTATTTTTATTTTGTGATTTATTATTAAAATAATAGTTTGAAAAACAAAGCCCTTGTTAATTATAATTTTATGTTTATATTATTGACTTAAGAATTAAAGCATTGAAAACCTATTTTAACTTATCTATTTGATATCAAAAATCATATTTATTTGAGTAAAATGTTTGATAACACTCAATTGAATAATTAAACAAGTTTATACATTGACCCCGTAGCAAATTATTCTAAATAACAATACACTTTAATATTAATATATGAATTGGCTAAATAAGAATATAATAAAATAAGATTTTAACATCACTATTATGTGGTGTGTTATAAAATAATTAGAAATACATTTAAAACTTATACATTATCATCACCATTATTAGTATATATAACAATAAATATAATTTCGAGTCTAATATCAAATAGATATTGTAAGCCCCCAAAATGGGCTTGTACACCCCCGGTAGGGGGGTCATTCTGGAGAATGCCCTTAACACACACACACGCGCGCACACACAACACAACATACATAATAAAAACATCCTTAAAATAAACAAATACTTTAAAAATACATATAAATAAAATTACTTTAAATTGATTGCGATTCTGGAGTAAAGTTTATTTTAAAGGCAAAGAAAACAGAATACACACAAACAGTGCGCTCAAGAGCTGCTGGCATTCTGACGAGAGATGTGTTCAACACATCTCTCATCGCAGGGCATAAGCGCCGCGTCATTGCATTTCATTGCTAATGAATTGGGACAACACTTTTATTCCCGCGGCTCCAGGACCCGTACCCGACGGGTCCGGGTCAGACGGGTCCACCCGTCACCCGTACCCGTCGGGTCCGGGTCCTGGACCCGTCGACGGGTCTACTAGTAATCTTATGTAGAATTAGACGCTGAGTGCGAAAATAACATTTGTAAATGTCTATCTCAAATAACTTTCGAGTTATTCGACTTAGAAATTTTTTTGTCGAAAATCTTAAATTGACTTAATTTATTGATATGATATATGAATTCGATGTAGAATTTGACTCTGATTTGGAATTTAAAATTTAAAATATTCTATAGCGAATATTTTTCGGGTTAGTCAAATTTTAACATTTTAAAATCTAATGGATTGAATACGATAGATGCAATTTAATATCTGATGCGATAATAATAATCACCGTTAAAATCTACATCGAATTCATATATCATATCAATAAATTAAGTCAATTTAAGATTTTCGACAAAAAAAATTCTAAGTCGAATAACTCGAAAGTTATTTGAGATAGACATTTACAAATGTTATTTTCGCACTCAGCGTCTAATTTTACATAAGATTACTAGTAGACCCGTCGACGGGTTCAGGACCCGGACCCGACGGGTACGGGTGACGGGTGGACCCGTCGGACCCGTCGGGTACGGGTCCTGGACCCGCGGGAATAAAAGTGTTGTCCAATGAATTGCAATGACTCGGCAAATACCGCTTACAATATTGAATAAAATGGCCACAACATGTAGCACACGCTCTCTGGGAAACCCATTGACCATGGTGCTATTAAGTTTCTGCCCCTCATTAACCCGATGTAACGCATGCTTTAACGCCTCGATCTCTTCGAGTGCCACACATTTGAATAGCAATAAAGCGTTGACACAGTCGTGATCGGGGGTCAGTTCGCACTGGCATTTCCCACACCTGTTGTTGCCATTAAAGGGACAGTTGTCCGTATGTTTGGTCAGTTCGTCCAGTTTGACCACTTGCCGACACCGGTTGTCCCAGTGGTCGCACCGTATCATAAACCGGCCCAATGTGTTCATCATTACCCTTTGGTTTATTGGATAATAGTTTACAATTAAGCAAAGTTTGGATCAATTGGTGAAGTTATTGATTGACAGATAATGTTAAACCGGCGGACAGTTGTCTTATGGCATTTGGGACTTTCGATTGGTTATGATATTAATTAACGGTATTGGTAATGATTATTTTATATTTATATTATTGACATTAAAATTATATCAGAATAAAGGCATTTGAAACCAATTTAAACTTATTATTTGATTTTAAAACATATTTATTTGATTATAATGTTTGATAATTAATACAACAAATAAAACAAAAAGTCAAATTTTGCATTTATCCGGCCTGGAATAAAATCACCTTAAGCTGATCCAAATCGTAATCAATAAGTGAACCTGGTACCGTTGCTAAATTATAGCCAGAACTGTTGCGCAACGTTACGATGCACTGCCACTCTTTACGGTTAAATTTTGTTTTCATTTTCTCATTAATGTTTTTAGCAATTTCGCCCAGGGTGGCCGCACTTTGAATCGCCTCACACGTGACCTTCTTAACCACCTTAATCATAGATGGCCTCATCTCATTGTACATTATATCAATGTCATCATCATCGATTTTGTTGCTATCGAGGCGACACTTTAAATTAGCCAAATTTAACTAAAATTAAAATTACCTTTTGTTAGTTACAATTAATGAACATTATAGTGTAATATAAAACAAACTTTTTAGTGTTTATAACGTACCGTAACCGTACGAAATATTATAAATGTGACTGGCGCGATTTTCACACTTATAAAATTGTACGCATAACAAGCGGAGGGCGTATAATAAGCGAAGCCGGCTTTACCACGATCGGCCAAACAGTGCCAACTCGAGCCAAATTCCTGGTCCATATTATTTACGATCTCTTTGCATACGTTAAACAAATTTGTTTGTCTCGTCAACTGTGCGCTAATTATGGCCACCGTTTCGTCGGTCATCTCAGTGTCCATAGTGTTAGTTAAGAGCTCGGGTGACGACAGTTTTTGCCTACACTCGACCAATAGCTCGTGATCGGCGATATGAGCCCCATCATCGCTATTATTGCTAGCATGCGCATTTTTCAACGCATCGTTTGCCCGCTTTAACGCCTGTTTTAACGCTTCGATCTCTACTTTTGCCTCGTTTTTGAACGCCTTGTTAATTACCAGATCATCAGCTAGTTTCTTTTTTAGCACATTGTTTTCAACAATTAGCCCTTTGTTTTCAGCGAGTAGTGCGACAATACAGTCGTGCCCCGATGTTCGAGCGCATTGACATTCTGGACATTTGGCATCCTTATAACGACAGTCGACTGTATGCTTAGTCAGGTCATCGAGTTTGACCACATCCTGACACCCGTGCGCCCAGTAGTCGCACCGTATCTTAAATCGACCCAAAGTGTTCATCACTAGTCTTTATAAACAACACAATTAATTACATCCTATTTATGTAAAATTTGTAAAAAATAATACCTTGGTGGCTTAGATAGACCACTCCGGGTAAGTGGTTTTCTATCATAAGGACAGGTAGTGTTAGTCGTAAGCCATTTAGTGATGCAGTCCTCGCAAAATAACTGTAGACAACAGGTTGTGGTGACCGGAGTGTTGAATATCTCCTGACATATACTACACATGTATTCGTCCCGATCCTCGCCGGACAGCTCCGGGAACCGATCGACACTATATCCGGGCATTTTAATCCTGATTAATTAATTACTTATTTACAAAAATTGCACATTAAACAGCAATAATGGCTTATGGTAAACAAAATAATTGTTGTTTAATCAGAAACTCAAATAACACGTATATGGTATCTTACAAATACTCAAGTAATTAATTAGTTGATAAACAATTGTTCATTAGCGCATTTGATAAATTTATGTACATGTTATATTATTTAATAAATTTTTTCAATTTAATCGACAGTTTCTAGCATTCCATTGTAATAAAACCTAACAACTTTTTATAACTAATTGTTTGCAAAATTTAATATAACAGGAAAGGTAAAAATTAAATATATCATATTATACATTTTTTAATGATCATTAATAAAATATAAATGTATAAATTACAGGTTATTTGTTTATTTAAATAATTGCAAACCTAAGTTTATTGAACTATTTTTATTTTATGATTTATTATTAAATCAAAAGTTTGAAAACCTAAGCTGTTATTGGTTTTATTTAATATTTATATTTTTGACTTAAGAATTAAAGCATTTAAAATGTATTTTAACTTATTTATTTGATATCAAAAATCATATTTATTTGAATAAAATGTCTGATAACACTTAAGTAAATACATAAACAAGTTTAAACATTAACCACGTAACAAATTATTCTAACTACCAATATAAATACTAATATTGTCAAAAATATTTATATCGCAACACCGACACCACACTTAAACAATAATAAAGATAAGATTTTAAAACTACTATTATGTGTTGTCTTATTAACATAATTAGAAATATTTTTAAAATTTATACATTATCATCATCATTAACAGTATATATAACAATAAATACAATTTCGAGTCTAATATAAAATAGATATTGAATATAATGGCCACAACATGTAGCACACGCTCTCTGGGCAACCCATTGACCATGGTGCTATTAAGTTTCTGCCCTTCATTAACCCGATGTAACGCATGCTTTAACGCCTCGATCTCTTCGAGTGCCACACATTTGAATAACAATAAAGCGTTGACACAGTCGTGATCGGGGGTCAGTTCGCACTGGCATTTCCCACATCTGTTGTTGCCATTAAAGGGACAGTTGTCCGTATGTTTGGTCAGTTCGTCCAGTTTGACCACTTTTCGACACCCGTTGTCCCAGTGGTCGCAACGTATCATAAACCGACCCAATGTGTTCAATTATAACAATTAAATTTCCAACATAGGTATCTCAGTTCTTGGCTTTTCCATTATGATCTATGTAATTTTTTATACTCTAAATCTGTATTTAATGGCATTTCCAGTGTTATTAATAACCGGATTAACTGTATGCTTATGTTTTGCTGATGCTATGGTTGCAATAGTCCTGTTTACCATGGGCATATATTATTTTAGACTTAAAATCACCGCAATTAACGCTCGTTTAATTAACACCAGGCTTACAAAATGGCATAAACAATGCACACATTTAGCGCACTTTATTAAAAAGTATATTAATGAACATGATGTATTATGCCAATCCTTGAAATTGTACGATAACTGCTGGCAAGAGACTCACCTAGCATTTATTATCGCAGTGTTCCCAATTAGTTTAACAATATTGCACCTGCTGCTGTTTGAAAATGTGTTTTATTTTATAAAGGTCTATTACATATTGGGTCTAATAATAATGTATTCGGGCTTTTATGGTCTAAATTTCCTTTTGGGCTCCAATTCGGCCAGAATTCACGGAATGTGTAAAAAGTTATCCCGTTTTCAATGGGGTATTAATGGAGGCGCCTATCGGTTGAGGTTTAAACTAAAACTATTGACATATTTTGAGCGCCTCAGCACCGATAGGGTAAGACTCGGTGCCCGTATTGGCCCATCAGTTGGTGTTATGACACTTCAAGTGTTTGGTAAAGTAAGTACAGGCAGTTTTAATCTGCTTTTAATTATAGTTAATTAATTATATATTATAATATTTTATTGTTTTTATAAATTAATAGATGACAATACTATACGTACGGTACTTTATATTAGTGCATAAGTTTGCCCAACGATTCAAAACTTATTATTAATTAGACTATTATTTAGTGTATCTGTACTGAAAATATTGATTATTTTGATATTTAACATTTATGCTTTATTGGAAGTTATTTATAAGTTATAAATTATAACAATAAAATATAGTCTGTTATCTAAAAAATCACTAATGTTACATTAAAAATGTATATATTGATTTTTATATACATCAAAACATTTCTAATTAAGTATTATTCATGCAATTGAATTAAATCTAAAAATATCATTTGTTTAAATAAAGATAGTTTTTAAAACTTGGTGCATAATTTAGACAAATGTAGGCATTTTTCATATTAACTATTAAGTAATTCTTATATACTAAAATTAAACATGCTGACTCTAACTAAATCTATAATACTTTACCGTAAATATTCGCCCAAAAACATATTCATAGATTATTACATAAATTCAATTAACAATAAGCTTAAAAACTCTAATAATAATAATGTTAAGAAAAATAAAATAACCAAGCAAATTAGTCAACTAATCATGATCAGTGAAGCAATGTTAATATTTCACTATGGTGCACAGCTATTATTTGACATACCATACAAATGGCAGTTAATATTATACGACATGTCGGTGTTTTTTGGTGGCATTAAAACTTATAGTTTACTACAATTGTTGCTATCGTTTGTATTTGGGTTTATATTAAATCTGAGGTTTCGTTTGACCGACGCTAACGTTATAGTAATTTTGTCAAAAATATTACATACGATGCCAAATGTTGATATAAAGTCAGCAAGGCAAATAAACGCCAGGCTTAGGTTAGCTTACATTATACTAAACACTACAATAGTTACATTTGGTATGTTTGATAAGTTAATAATTATAATACATAAATGTTTAATAAATATATAATAATTATGTTTATTTCATTAAACCTTAAGGTGTTTTGATAGCCGGCATATTTGTGGGCATTGTATTTGTATATTATAGCCCGATGTTATTTATCATGTCATTTATACCGCAATCCATTACAATTATATCCACATATGTTGTATACATAGACTGTATGGTCGGGGGAACTATATTCATGGTAATCGCCTATAGATTCCTAGGCATAATCAACGGGACTAACAGATTAGTAGACAATTTTGGTATTAATTCAGACAAATCTTTGAATCTAGGTTTAAACGTAACCAAATACATAATCCAACATAATGACATGTGCGTTAAATTAGCCAGATTCAATAAATGCTGGAAACTAATCTACCAGACATTTCTGCTGACAATGTATCCAATCACCCTGATACTATTACACCAGGTACTATTTGAAAACAACGCGATCGTGGTGAAAATAGCTTTCATCTTGGGCATGTACTCGGCCTACGTGTGTCTGTTTGGCATACAATATATGTTGGCTTTGTTTTCCCAAAAGGCGCATAAAATGTGCTTAAAATTATCACGTTTTCAATGGCGGGTCAATGGATGGCCGTTTAGGTTGGGATTTAAACTCAAACTAATGGTGTATTTTGAGCGCCTGAGTAGCGATAGGAAACTGGGCGCCAGTATTGGTGGACTGGCTGTTATGACCTTTCCACTATTTGGCAAGGTGATTTTTTGAGTGGTTTTTTTATTTTTAAACTTATTAATTACTATTGTGTTTATTTTTTAGATGATTATAATGTATATACGATTCTTCATATTAGTTCATAAGTTTGCCCAAAAATTTCATATATAACTACTTGTGGATAATCTTGATTTGGTTTTATCAAGTGTGTTATTTTGCATGTGTGTTATAACTGAATATTACTGATAATATTTAAACTAATTCAGGTTCATGTGTCCTTGATATTATTTCTCTAAATTAAATCATTATTTAAAAGCAATTTATAATATTTAAAATAATTTTTTTAAACAAGTAGAATTTATTCCTGCTAATACACTTAAAAATTAATTAAAACGAATTAATCTACGAATTCTAGTCAAAATGATTTTAATATATACATGTATATATAACTCAAACTATTTAAGCTTAATTATAATCCCGATTTATTAAAAAATATTTTTATTAATTTTTACCTTAATAATATTAAAACTAGCTTAAATGGTAACGACAAAAGAATGCATCGCGATACAATAACAAGCCGTATTTAAATACTATCTAAAGCATTTTATATTGTATTTTTTACATCCAGATTATAATTGTTAATATATATATAAAACTATTTACTTCTTTATACTAAAATTCGCATAAAAGTTAAATGATTTGTTGAGAAAAATGTTCAGGTTGAATCAAATAAAATGTTTATTGAATCAAAATTTATAATAATATAATTTATATGATTTAATGAATAAATTATACATTACGTTGAAGTTTTAAATGACTACAAAGTTTATAATAATTAAACACAAAATTAACTGTTGAATATAATGTACAGTATATGATAATCTGTGTCTATGTGTTTGTGTAATATTTATGTCTATGCTTTGTATAAAATGTGTGCAAATATTGCATAATATTCAGTATAAGATTAGGAATGTGTTTGTATTTAAGCTCAAAATTTGTTTAAACCAAAAAGTATTTCAATTAATTATAATGAAATGGATTTCAATAAGAAGTAAATGTGACTTTTATAAGAATTACTTTACATGCATAACATTTTATGCTGTATATAAAATAACAATATTCATTATAAGTGCATGATAACATTATCTATATGCATTATCATTTAAGCTTATAATGAAATTTAGTTTATGGTATAAATAAGACGATATTATTCTAAACACAAACAGTCATTTTGTAATATAATAAAAATAAATTAAATTACAATATAAATTAATAAACAACCATGTTAACATTTTTACTGGTCTCAATGTTGTTTGGAGCTGTGGTATTAGGAGATGTTGCCCACAAACCATGTAGTAAGTATGAAATTAAAAATTATATTAATATTCAACTATAATTTTTAATATACAAGTACACATGTAATAAATTATTTAAATTGAATTGACTAACATGCGTGTTAAATAACAACCACAGCTGTCAACCCATGTGGCGCGTGCACGCGTGTCTCAATAATTGGCTGCGAGACCAATAAACCATGTAATGTCAGCCGTGGCGAGCCTTTGATTGTAGAATTTGATTTTGCAGCAGGTACAGTTGTGAATTGATTCAAATTGAGCTGAATAATTAAACAAATTAATAATTTATAAGTTTAAAAATAAAAAAACCACTCAAAAAATCACCTTGCCAAATAGTGGATTATTATTATCGAACTTAATAAATCAATATTAAATATATATATATTATATACATTACAATACATTATAAAATTATTATAATATATAAACTTTATAAAGTTATTACAGTATAAATTTATACACTATGTATATCGCATTCACTTAATCAATTTATATTAGATCAAAGTGATGATACGCTAACATTCCTCATGTCTGCTGAATTTGATGTGGATAAGAAACATTACAGCGTTGTTTTAGATGATTACCTAACTAACTTTGAAAAAGATGCTTGCAAACACACCAAGTGTCCCGTTAATAAAGATTGGCTATATACATTTTATTTAAACCAAACCATTCCCACCGAGTTTTTTCCTGAATTTGAAACACTTGGACTGGCCTTTCGTTTAGTAGACCCTAATCTGTATTATCATAGGTTTTGCACCCAGATCAATGTAACTCTGGTGAATTAATGTACACCAATTATGTATTTGTTTTTGTATTACAGCGGTTAATATCCAACGAGTTTATGAATATAATAAAGTTTATTCATAAATCATATGGTTGTTTATTAGTTTATTAAATTATTAATGCAACTAAATTTAATACAATTAATTATATGGCCAATTAAGCACGATGTTTGCTCATTTAATAATAATTAATATTAAAAATTTTTATAAAAAATTTCAATTTATTTTGTTCGACATTTATTTTCTATAAGTATCACGAAATAAAATATCTTTAATAAAATTAATGAGAAATCAATAAGACTCGTTTTAACATGCACGATATTTATTTATATTTATTTGGTAATTATAATTCATATATAATTCAGCATTAGTATTAATTATGATTTTATTAGTATAACATTAATTATCCCAATTATGGCTAAGAATAGAGTAAATCTATTGTTCGTAAAAATAAATCCCAAA